AAACTAGGTGTTAACAAAAGTCTACGTCAATTTTATCGAAAACTTCTGTATATAGTTTTGAATGTAGCTTTCTGAATAAGAGAAAACTAAAATTCGTAGATGCGTGTGATAGTAGAGTATCTATAGTAAATTAACTTATAAAAGTAAATCAGAAGGAGAACAAAAATTGGAGTGTACGAATAATAAAATTTATCAGTTTTATTTCTAAGAAATTCATTTGGTTCATTCATTCTAGCAACGAATATAATCAAAGATATAATTGAATACGTTTAATACAACTTAACTTGATATAATACAATTAAAAAAAGATACATTCAGAATATTACAAAAAAATATTCAATTACCTATTTTACGTACGTTCTCGTGCGTCTGTGCATCTTCAAAATCCCCCTGAACGCATAAAATTACCTTCAATCAATCCAAGAAACCCTTCTTTCACCCTAATCAACCCTTCCTCGCACATTCATCAACCAACCACCCGTACATCCCGAAAACGATAAAATACGCCACCGAGGTGGCAATTAATTTCCCAAAGATCGCCTTCTCCTTCTTCTTCTTCTTCTTCCTCCTCCTCCTCCTCCTCCTCTTCTTCTTTTTATTCGCTATGTTAGATGGTTCGCGGTGGCTGTGTTGTATCCGGTACGCAGCTTGCAGACGCAACAGTTTCTGGAGGTGGGGCACGTTTTACGGAGAAACGAGTAAGCATAATATTGATATAGCCGGTGCGCGCGAGGCGACGTTGATATCGTTGGAGCGATTCCACCATGCTTGCTGTCCGCCGGGCCCCGTAGGGTTCCATTCGTCCTGGCGGCGTTCCTCACCGTCCGTACGATCCCTGGAAACTCACTCCGAGAGTGGCTTCCCTTCTTCGCCCTTTGCCGCGCTCGTCCTCGCGATCGCCGGCAAGCTGGAGCCCCCTTTTCTGTCGGAGCCCGAAGGCCCAGATAACGCGAGCATGTGGCGTGGGCGAGCAACCGTACCGCTCAGATGCGGTTCGGATTTCTGCAATTGCACGCTCACCTCTTCTCCTACGTTTCGCCTTCGGTATATTTTTCTCCCAGGCAATTCTTTTCTGCTTCTTCTTTTTCTTCTTCTTTTTTTTCTTCTTCTTCCTCTCTCGTTCGTCGTTCAGCTTCGTTTTACACGTTCTTCCACAGACGTTGATTGCGAGGCGCGTATTTGGCCATTTTGGTTGCCATTTGAGACGACGAGTTGACGTTTAGTGTGTTGCGAATTGTTGAATTTTTAAATACATGCTGTGAGGGGAGAAGGGAAGTTTTATAGATTCATCTTTATTACAGTTTATTTTCATTTATTTTATAGAATCAATTTTCAGAGGTAGTTGACTGATGTCAAAATATTGGACTATGTATCGAATATTTATAAGTCACTTGACAAACTCGATAATTTGAGATGTCCTTCGAAATTCGATATATTAAAAAGGTGTCAGTTGCTTAGGACAAATACCGAATTTTCATAATTTGATATTTGATATTTTGATGATCATCTGTAATCTTGAGTAAAGAGGCATTAGAAACCATTAATTCTTTGGGGGTGTTGAATTTTTGAAGTTGATCAGCATCTGATAAATCCGGTGATTTGATATTCTGCGATTTCCTGATCGTCATTGGTTGTTGAAGTTGAATCTTAGGCGCTGATTTTTACAAATTCGAACAACGATAATATATTCATACTGTTGATAATTATCAGTTAAATCTTGAATCATACAAATGTATATTATAACTACAATATTATGTGTAATATTACGATATCATTTTATTCATAATACTAAATTATACGATTTCACATTTTATCACTTTCTCCTTGTGACAAAACATAGACGTTGAATTTATAGGTTAAATGAATAGGATAATAAAATGTTAAAGATATCCAAGATATATCTGACAGGATAATACGATGATATCCGGAAAATATTAATTGAAGAGATTTTTAAGTGGAATGGGTCGATGCGTTAATTCCAAGGAGAGTATTACGTACTGGAAGAGGCGCGCGATAATCTTGTGGCTAGGTATAATGAAACGGTCGAGCCGACAAAAGCACCTGGCCGCAACAATATCCGCGTTGGTAGCTTCTGCGGCTGCACCAGCTGGGGCTGGCAGGTCACTCGACGGGTCAGTTTCTAAGGGACACGGATTGCTTCACCTGTCCGGGTGCCGTCGATTGTCGAGTAATCGTCTGTGACAAAATTCACGGTTGATATCTTGATCTCACAATTGCTCGTGCAATTCGTAGAATTCTTTCCCCCATGCAACTTTTCACTTTTGCAATTTTCTTCTCGATCGACTTTGTTTCTCCGCACGTGAAGCTGCGAAAGGACGTTCCAAGAATCGCTTACAATTAGACTGTACGATTTCGTGAAATTTAAAGAAATTGATAGGAAGTAAACCACATTACACTTCCCAGACACATTCTGTCAATTTTTCTAACTTATAACAATTTTTATAACTTATATAATTGAGCTTAATGGGATAAATTTTCGTTTTAAAGTAATAAGTGGATTTTTTATCAGGATTGAAATAAATAAGACGTCAATCTAATGAAAATTTTAGGATTTCTACCCAAACGACGAACATGTCGTGAAGTTGAGAAATTAGCCAAAAATCGATCTGCTCGGTATCTACCAATTTCCCCCAGAACAACGATCTCGCCGGAACGAAAGATCTTCCCGTTCGATCTGTTAATAATCCCGGACGGATCATAAGTCAGAGTCCTACGGGTTGTCTACCTGCGGCGCGACATTTCACGCGGCCTGTTCTCGGGCAGGTACAATGCGAGGAGGCGATTGCCCACACGGTGCCCGCGGCTCGCACATCCGCCGAGCGATGTAAACCCGCTCGGTCAGTATAAAGTCCTCCGGTACTGTTCGCGATGGCGACAAGGCCAACGCTCGTATTTCAATTCCCTTCGTGAGACTCGAATTCGAGTCGCGGCCAGTCGCCTATCTTCGAGGCGCTCGATAACGAAATTCTCTCCCGCTGTTATCGCCCGATCTGTGCTGTTTCGACGTGACAGCACCGAAAGAGAGAGAGAGAGAGAGAGAGAGGAAAGAGGAAGGACCAAGTTCCGGTATCGGTATCGATAACCTTCGCAATCGTTGGAAATTTTCGTGAATTACTGACCTATTGTTTGTTGGTCTTATTGGGGATTTTTGAAAGGTTGATTTAAGCTGCTGCTTAGGGAATGGCGCGGATCAAATCGAACTTGTGAAACCGATGAAACGAGAGTGTGGTATCCAGGAGTGTCAATTACGGGGAGATTGAGGTGATCGTTTTGGCAAAAGTAAATCTATTTGAGATACGAATTTGAATGTATGTAAGGTCGTTGATGTATTCTCGGTGTAACTCATCATTTTGAGCGAAACGTGTGCCTATAGTTCGAAAATTTCGTTTCCTAAGAATTCTTTTAATATTCTCTTTTATCTGTGGGTGAAAATTGTGCAATGATGAGTCTCAACTATATTTTGATGTATTGTATGTATAACATTTAAAAATACAAAGAAACGTAACATTTAAAAATTTAATAAACGCGAATGTTGAAAAAAATTCATTCATTGGCACTATAACGAGGCACAAGTGTGACAATTACATTGACACAATTCAAAATCGATATAAAATTGTTGAAAAGTATAAAATTAAAGTTGCAAAATGTTCGTTGAAAGTATATATTTAGTAAAGAATTACTAGCACAAATAGTGTATTTTATACACTGATACAAATAACTAATTTAAACACAAAATAGATAGATTCTGGACTTTTATGCATCTTCACATTCTTGTTAATTGCAAACGTATTGCAACAAATATTTTATACTCATACCACATGCTTCGTATATATATATGAAATTCCAAAAATGTCCGGCACAGCGCAAAATACGATACATCAATCATAGTTTCCTACGTATAAATATTCAAACACCAACTCACTGACCAACCTACCTACCCTAATGTATAATATAATCAAGAAAATGTTATTCCATATGAATAAATAAACGCGCGGAGAGCAGAGAGAGCGAGCGTAGAATTTTTAAGGAGAGCAAACAGAGACCGGTGACAATGGAGCGGAAGAAAGTGGAGCACGTGTGTTGTACGAACGGGCCACAATTCATTTCTCAAAGCGATGCAGAGCGGATGCTACTTAGCATGCTCGTCCCACGGAAGCGGTTCATTGATCATCGAACAAGCCACCGTGCGCCTCTATTTGAAATCTACGAGGCTCTCCTTTCGTTCGCAAAAAGTCACCCCGTCGCCATCGTCGTAATCGGCACATGCGCCAATTGGCAGCTGCCATTTCGGTAATGAATCGGGCAACCCGAGATACGTCGGGTTCTGCTGATTTATCGGTTGATTAGCATACGAGGCTTCGGTTCGCGTGGGGTTCCCAATCCGAGAGTGCAAGCGTCCTTTGAAATTGACGCTTCGATTTCGAAACGGAAGTGAGACGTTGTGTCGACCATTTTTGGAAGACTTGGCGAGGCTCCGTGAGAAAATTGACCCTCGACTTTCGTATGTATATTCTATTCTCGTGCAGTTCGCTATTTCGTATTTAATAGGTGGATTTTTATCGATATGATAATTTATCTCTTAATAAATTTGTAAAGAAAATATCGGATGCTAATCAATAAAGCGTTATTTATTTATACGACACAGTGCACCTCGTTAGAGAGTAAATATTTTAAAAATACTTTTTCATGTTTCTTTTTTACATTTCAAAAACCAATTAGTCGAGCACTTAATGATGATAATAAATAGGTAAATGGGTAATAATTCAATAATAATAATAAATAGATAATTACTTCTTTCTTTAATTGGATTTCCTCCGTGTGTTGTTGATTGTCTTTAACTTCTTAATAGGAGAGAGAGCCAACTTAAAGTTCCACGGATGAGTTAATTCGTCGATTAAAGGTGCAATGTTACATGATTTTAGAACGAGTTCATTTGATGGAAAATTTTATTTCTACAAAAGATTTTATACAGGATTTCGTTTACTTGGGAATGATGTTTTAAATTGAATCGATTAATTGATATCCTGGGTATTGATTTATAAATAATGCGACGTCACACGTTAGAACGAATTTCAAAGAAAGTTCATTTATCCATGGTCCCTCCGTTTGATCCAACTGACCCAACGATCTGAAAAAAAAAAAAGAGACACGTAGGCAGGTATGTACATCCGTGTTCAAAAGGAATGAATAATAAAACAGCCATTCTTCCATCGCAGAACCAAAGGAAACGTTCGAAGGCGTCGTTCGAAACGTTTCGTCGCGTCGATTCGTTTCCAGTGAAATTCACTTATCGCGGCAAGTGTATCTAATTATCGCCGACAAACATTCGTCCGCGGACGATTCGATTAACACGGGACGGTGGCACGGTCCCGTAGCGACGACGTCAAGCATCGGCGATCGATTTATCTCGCGAGGCGCGAACGCCGCAGCCGTGTTCCCGTTAAGCAACGATTTATCAACCGGCCGCGGCGTTAATGTATTCGTAAAAAGGCGCGCAGCTGCTCCCCGATGGCCGCGTGTCGCACAATGAAACAACATCGCGCAGGGGTTGATTTCAGGCGAGATGATTTTTCGCGCATGTTGAACGCGGTTTTAACGTCGTCCGTCCATCTCGAGGAAAATTCAATAAATTCGAATTAAATTTTGTCGTATTGCACGAAGATATCTTGCTAATAATTCGTTAAAAAAAAAAAAAAAAAAAAAAAAAACGTTTGTGTAATCGTACTTTCACGAATCGATGATGAACGAATGAAAGAACGCAAAGATATAAATTTTTCTTTTAATTTTCTGTATGCATATTGATCGTATATGATCATGGTGAATCCGAGCTTGTTGAATGTTCATTACAAGATATTATTGTCGTGACAGAATGATGTTTCGAATCGATGTAATATAAGGATCCAACAAAAATTAAGTTTTCTGTAGATCGTGGATGAGTCAGTTGAATATTAATTGCGCATTTTGAGGATTCGAAAGTAAATAAGCGTCGTAAGTAACTGTCCGATAAAAGTACGCGAATAAGGAAGAAAAGTCCCGGGAAAATATAGAGAAGGGAAAAAGGAGAGGAGGAAAGGGACAGAAACAGAGGCGAGAAGGATGCAGAAAGGAAAGGAAGAAAAAATAAAGAGACAAAAGGTGAAGCGCAATGAGAGATGGGTTTGGCGGGGGTTTTCAATCGACAATCAATGAAGCGCGTCCGCGGGATTAAAGGTCCAATGGAGAGAGATAGATCTAGATTCGCGGTACTGGCTAAGCCAATCGGATCTGGTTCAAGGAACCCCGGGGACCCGCGGCCGTATTTGCAATGCAAAGTAGGCGACCGTGCGTCGTAGCTACCGACGAACGAGCACCCCGCACACGCCATACGTCCTCTTCCTTCGAAAGGCCCTCCACCTCTTTGTCGCTCCACGACACATGGCTACGTTCGATTATTTAGATATGCAGATGATCCCGCGGAAAGACCGACCGGGAACACGGAATATACTTGGGGATCCTCTGCGTTGAGCCAGCGAGCAGAAAAATGGGAAATTTCTGTCCTCTGTTTGACAAAAGAATGTTTAGCGTTGGTCTGCGCGATATAGGTATACATAAAATATTCTATTCGTTTCTTTTTCTTCGGTGTAAGGATAAAATCTTTAGGAGAGGTGATAAAGATATTCGATTTGTAAAGTGTGATTAGAATGAAAATATGCGTGTGTATTATGCATCATCGATTAAATAGGTTTTGTTATAAATATATTAGACAGATATTCGATCACAATATTTTATTTTATTATACGGATATTTTATTTGTATCATGTGTTTCGTACAATACATTTATTTGACAATTTTTTAAGGAAACACGAATGAATTTATATTTACACGATCTATTACTTATGAAAAGTAGTAAGTGTTCTTCATCAAAATACTCCGTTCTATAAGTTATAGATTGTTTCGTGTCATTTGCAGTTTAATCTTTCTTCCGTATCTAAGTACATATGTATTCATTCGAAAGAGTTTTATTTAAATTTGCTAAAAAAAATACACGGTCAAATGTGAAATATTTAAAATAGAAAAACAAGAGCACCACTAGATTGAATATAAATCCTCATCGTAAATTGTAATTCCATGGTAAACTTCGTCCGACTTTTTCCTTCCAGTATGTTCCCTAGCAAACAAATTGGTACTTATAAAATACTCGGAAATTGATCGAAAAAAACAAAGGATGAAGAAAAATCTGCACACTTTGTTCCTGGATCTCGTTTCAATTTACAAAATGAGACGGAAAATATCTCTCGGTAACCAAGCACGATGGGGTTGGCAGCCCTGTCCTCGCGAGCACAACCCACTTTTCGACGAAGGGATCTCATTGTTGGCCAGGAATTTGCATGTCGACGCAGTTCATAGAAGGGGTGGTGCCTGGTAAGGAACACGGGCTGTAAAGTCACCCCCACCGCCGAGCTCAAGGGATGCTCATTTTTCGGGCATATGCGCGCGTATTCCGTTCTCGATCCAGGGTGTCATCGACACCGAGCCGGTCTACCCCACGCGGTAGACCTTCAGCAGCGATTTTCTTGGTGATTTATCGTCCCTTGGCCCGTGGCTCGTTTACATATCGTTCCGAGCGTTTCTCCTTCTCCCTCTGTTGGTGACACACGCGTGTCAGCCAGCGATTTGCAGTTTCGCAGTGCAGTTGCCCTCCACCTCCCCGTTTCACGCGTGGACAGTCGATTCTTCATTGCAATTTTCGTGTCCACCGAGAGTTAGAAGGTATTACAACATCATTCTCTCTTGGCACTAGTTGAAGATTAATACTCTGAGCTTTCGCTCTGCTGGGTTTTCAGAAATCGCGTCAAAAAGCAACAAGCTTTCTCTGTTATTATTATTCCATCCGTCTCGTTACACTGCGGTTGTTTCTGTTTTATTATAGTTGCAGAAACGTTTACACATTTGCGTGAAATAGCTACTATTTTTTTTTTTTTTTTGGACGAAGAAGTTTTAGGAAATTTTGCTGCGTCTAATTCTGGCTTTTTTTTTTTTTTTTTAATTGTAACCGTGAAAAGTAATTTCAAAGATTCGCTTAATGTCTTTCTTTCTTTCTAGATTCTACAAGTGTATGAAGTTTTAAGAAGTTTGAGTATTTTCGATGTGGTAAATTATTGTTCTCTCCTTAATTTAGTGAACAGCGTGATATAATGAATCAGTGTAATATAATGCATTCAAAAATATTGTAAGTAGTAGCTGTTAGTTTTGACGAAAGCTTGGAGAAACGGTGAAAAAAATTTAGAAAATTGAGACGAGGTTTCAATTTTATTTCATTAACACGTACAATATTGTAATCGCGTAATTTTTAGGTCGAAAAGCCAAGTATGAAATTCTACAAAATCTCAGTAACGAAAAGCAAAGTACATAATCAAGTACACATTTCCTTCAAAACAGAAAAATTAGTCGCAGAATAAATCTACGCTAAACAATCTATACTGAAATGTACCAAAATGGAGAATTCTCGAGTAGAGATGCACGTGAAATTATTTATTATTATTTCAAGGAGTTCTTGCACGTCGAACGTTACAATTTCATTAGTTTCTCATTCCCGCAGCCAGCAATTCATTTTCAATTAAATGCCCGGAAGATTCCTCGGACTACAGACAACAGAAGTCAATTCAGCTCTTTCCCCCCGTTGACGATTAAAACGCCTTTATTACCAGCAATTTGTTAATCATCGGTTAAAATAAACGCTGGCAATATCGTCCACGAGATACCGCTATAATTACACATACACAAACATGAAAAGAGAACATCAAACCACTCGCTTGCTCTCACACCTTTATCATCTCTTTTTCTCTTCTCTCTCTCTTTCTCTCTTTTTGTTCACTTTCGTTGGTTCTTCAAGCTCGGCCCGATTTCCTTCTTATTTTTTTCCCTCCCTTTCCGCCGGATTCGTCTTCACCCGGCGTGTCGACTGTCTCGATTATCGATCGACCACCTTGACGACGGCTTGGGAATTAATTGGGACGACCTCGTTAGCGGCGGATATCGACGACCATCGAGAAAGAGATCCGAGGGTTTTCGTTTGCACCCGTAAAAAAATCCTGCTCTTTTATTTGGCCAGGTAGAGCGTCCGTGTGCCAGCGTTTCGGAGCGCAGCTGCTCGAATCAACTTCATTGAAAGAAACTTTGCCAGGAGAGGATTTCTTCTCCCTTCGTTTATTTTCGGGATAATTTTCTCGTCCGAGTGTTCTCTGTAGGTGTGACCTTTTGGTTTTTAGGCTCGGTCAAATCGATTAGATGAATGATTGAAAATTTAAAAATCAAACGACGAGGAAATTTTGAGATTGTTCGGATCTTGTTATAATTTCTGGTTAGATTTCATTTAGATTATTTAGTGCGAAGTGATTGTTCACGTGTTGTGTGATTTACATTGAACGTCTGCCTATAGGTGACATAAAATGAAATAACTTGAGATATTTGCGACACAGTTGAACTTCATTATTATTATATATATAAAAGATAAAGCTTAAAGATAAGTTTCAAAAATAATATTAAAAAGAGGTGTATAAAAGTAGACGCTTCGATGAGACATAAAATATTTAACGAACAGTCTTTATGAAGCTATTAATTTACATGAAAATCTGTAGTATGATTCTCATTTTATCGAAGTATATAAACAACTTTGTTCGTTTCATCATACGAAACAAGAAATGTTTCATTTTTACAAAATAAAATACATTTAAATGTCTTAAAACTAAAGACAAATACAATTTCGTGTAAATCAACATAAAAGAAACGATGTTTCATTTTCGATGATCAAATCGTTCACAAAATTTTCTTGCCTCGAACCATACACGCATTTGCAATCTACAGAAGTATTTACTTAAAAGACCCAAATTAAAACAAATTCTTCTACACATTCTCGAAACGAATCTAAACGATCTTTCCAATTAAAGTTTCATAAGGATCAATTAAAAATAAATCGACTACTCAATCTTGGCCAGAAAAGAACTAAACGATTCGCATTTTCTCGCAATACGGGGACCGTATTATATATGTCGAAAGTAGTACAAGTCCACTTATCGAGGAGACTGAGAAAACGAAAGATTTCCATGCGCTATAAAGTTCGTGAACAATTTATAATTCAAATAATAAAATCATATACTCGCCAAATCGAAATTTGCTGAATGGAATTGTACGGTCGATGCAAACGCGAGCACTTCCGGTGCTCTCAAAATGGTCCACGTGTCTCAATAAAAATCAATAAATAAATAAAAGAAAAAAAAAAAAAGAAATCGACACTTTTATTAGTCTGAGAGAATGAAGATCTTGTTAATTGGCGGTGCATCAGGCCAGACGTCATAATTACGATTCGTCGATTCGACACAGGGAATCGTATTCTCGGGTGGCGCTCGCTCTGGCAAAAACGTGGCGCGTTGAAACGGCGGAAGAAAGAGGGGGGGGGGGGGGGCCGCGGACGCAATCCGGCCGGGGGGAGGGGGAGGGGAGAAGAATAGAGTTGTAAAGCGAACGACGAGAGCTGCTAGTTTTTCCGAACGTGTTTTCTCCGTGGACTCGCGCAGCCAGACAACTCCGTTGTCGGATCGGTCCGATGCACGCACACGAACGGATGCACGACACGGCAGACGCTCGAGGTTTTATCGCGCTATAAAACAATCGGTGGGTGTCTCGTAATGATCGTGGAAACCTTTATAGACGTAGAGACGTGGAGAGCCGAATGCCTGCGAAGGCCGGTGCGTTTCGCTCGGTAATTTCGAACCGAGCCGCGTTTCGAGAAGGTAAGATTTAAGGCCATTGATTTAAGGCTCGGGGCGATTTTAAGTCTCGGAAGTGCCACGAGAACGATGATTGTGTTAACTTGATGATTGTGTTCGAAGATTGGTGGAAATTGATTGACTACTGATTTTTTTTTTTTTTTTTTTTTTAAATACGTTTCTGTTTCTGAGATGTAATAGAATGTAAGTTACGTTTCAAATGGTAATAATTGAAACAGGTGCCTCTGTGGGGATTATTATTAATTTTGATAGAAATACCTTCAATTGGGGAAGAGGAGAATTGGAAATTGGTAGTTTAGTGCTGAGAAGGAAAATTGGGCAACTCATTTTCACTATGAGAAACTGGAAATTGCAAAAATACACATAATGCACGGAATATGTGAAAATATTTATTATATTATGCATGGTAGATAAAAGTTTCTCTCTTCAATTATGTTTAAAATCGCCTCCTCTGTATTCTAAAATAAATTCTTCTAACAGAAAGAAAGAAATTCCGAAAAGAAGAAACTAAACTTTCATCGATCGAACAAAAATTTCTCACCTCCTGGAGATAATATTTCAAATATCTGAGCAACGAATTTAAATTAAAAGAAAGAAACCAATAATCCGAGTATTTCAAAACTATTTGAAAACGTCTGTGACTCGAAAAAATAACATTTTCAAATCTAAGACTAAAATTGAAAACGAAAGAGAAGAAGAGAAGCCTTCTTCGGACGAAGCAGGCGACAGGCGCCACGTCTCCCTTTAATTTAAATCGCATCATCATTTTCGCCGAGGGTCCGGTGACTGACAAATAATCATCTTCGTCGGCCGGCACGCGGACGAACGCGATGACAAGATCTTCCTCGATATCTCGCGGTTATTACGTGTCCTCCAGGAGGCGAGGACGTGTTTCGCGAAAACGCGGACGATCACGTATGCACGGGACGTTCCAGGTTAGCGCGTCTGTCCCCTTCGCGTTCGCGCTTTCGAGTCGGGGCCCGAGCGTGTACGCGCGTCTCGCTTCCACTTCGTGGACACGCACGCGGAGAAAGAGAGAAGCAGGAGGCTGGTGGAGAGAACGAGGTGGAAAGACGAAGGAAAGATAGGCCATGTCCACGCGAGGATCGCCTACTAGAAGCCGCCGGGCCCGAGGAAAAACTGGCAGGCACTACTACGACTCTATTCAACGCGCTTGTCCCGCTTTATTCCCACGAGGCGCTTGCCGGCTACAAAGAACAGATAGAAACGGGGAAAAAGTTGATAGACTTTTATGAATTATTGGACGAGGAGAGCACGAAGATGATTTAGAAAGCGTTCTTCGAGCTGCTATCGAGCGGGAGAATGTTGAGCGATCGGATTGATATATGGTTGTTGATGATTTCTTTGTCTTTCCTTCTTTCTTTCTTTTTTTTTTTT